TTGATCTTAAAGTCCAAAAGTTTGTTTCTGATTGAAGTTTATTTTCTCTACATACCACACTTGAGTGAAATCATATGGTGTTTTGTCTTTTTTTTTTCTGGCATATTCACTAAGCACAATACCCTCTAGAGCCATAGATTCTGTTGCAACACCATGTGGTCACCTCCGGGGCAGGTGGGAATCGAACTCATGAGGAAGTGGCTTTAGCTTCTTAGTGCAGTGCTTTAACCCACTGCGCCACCAGGGAGGGCCCAGGAAAGATTTTTTTAATAAAAAAACTAAAAGTTTAAAATTTTAGAACTACACAAATAATAAAATGACTCAATAAGGGAAGCAAGCAATAGATAAAAACAGAAATCAAAATGGTGGCTGTATTGGGTTGGCTAAGTAGATTGGGAACCTCATGATTTGATGTAGCTTGCTGTTAAGGTCTTAGCATTTATTTTAGGTGATGTTTTCTCATGCATATATTAAATTATTAATAATTGTTAATTAAACACCTAAATTAAGTGTCTGACTATAAATAAAAGTGGCAACGGCTGCTTGGTTTTCTGAGCCGAGAATTAGGGTTAACACAATTTGTGTTACCTGAGAGTCCCCACAAGAAATATATAAATAATTTTGTGTGCCTGTGGTTTTTCTCCTAATCAATTAATTAATCAATCAATTCAACCAAGTCTGTGTTCATGCCTATTTTTCCCATCTTCCCTCAAAGCATGAAATGACTCAGAAATTTTAATATGTTGGCATCTAAGATACATTTCTCATGATGCTTCTCACACCTACAGATTGCACCAACAGCCTTCATTGACTTAAGCATGCTGGTTAGTTTTTATATCAGAATATATCTCACCACACATAGGAAACAAGGAAAGGTGTGTTTTCTTCCAGTTATTTATCCGAAGCACTATAGTACTGCAAAAATTCAATCATCATAGAATTAGGAGAAGAAATTCTGAAGTGATGTATGCATGGGTTAAGAAAGGTTGATGATCAAGCTCATTTACTGAAGTCCAAGTGACTATTACAAGAAGTAGAACCAGCTGATTATCATGAAGTCAATAAGGGGCTCTCCAGGTAGAACTGGAGGTAATTTGTGAAACCTGCCTTGCTGCACGGTGAGATGATGGGGTACAGAATTAGAAATATTGACATTTTCACTTGAACTAAAGAAAAACGTTAGGAAAAGGAAAGGGGATTAAGACAATCAACCCAAATCAACAGGACAACAACTCAGACATGCTTCCCCAGTGAAGCTGATTTGTTAGGAGTAATGGCCTGCCTTTAGTCATGTCCCACTCAAGTTCATGCTGATAAAGAGTCCAGAGGTTGCTTTGAATAAAGGATCACATTCCGGGCCCTCCCTGGTGGCACAGGGTGCAGCACCATGAAGCTCTCCGCAGCCATTGCAGTGAGTTCAATCCCTGGCCAAGGAGCTGACCCACATGGCACCCCAGACCTCTCCTGTCTCACCCACTGCTCCTCTCAGCAGTGTATTTCAGTCATTCTGCCTGTTCTGCTCCCCACTCTGTCTCTGTTGAATGTTCTCTCCCCCTGTACCTCTGGCCTGTACCCCAGTTCTTGTAAATATAAATAAATCTTTAAATAAATAATCACATTTCTTGTATTTAAAAACCATTCTGGGCCCTCCCTGGTGGCGCAGCGGGTTAAAGCGCAGCACTGAGAATCTGAAGCCACTTCCGCATGAGTTCGATTCCCGCCTGCTGCCTGCCCCGGAGGAGACCACATGGCGAGCCAGACCTCTCCTGGCCCGCCCGCTGCTTCCCTCAGCAGTGTACTTCGTCGATCTGCCTGTTCTGCTCCCCACTCTGTCTCTGGTGAAGCCTCTCACCGCCCCTGAGCCTCTGGCCTGTACCCCAGTTCTGTATGAACAAATAAATAAATCTTTAAAAAAAAAAAAATTAAAAAAAAAAAAAAAAAACCATTCTAACAAAAGGCCTGACAATAGGAATGCCATATGGAAAGAAAATATTCAAAAAATGACCCTAAGGAGAAGCAGTGGGGAGTTGTTAGATGACATAGGTTTTAATTTTGGGTAATGTTTAGATTCCATGGTGAGCAACGTGAGCCAGTGACGTCAAGCTGCCATGTAAATGTCCATCTGTTTTACAGATTTCAGTCATTATTGTGATTATCAGTATAACTAGACTTTAACTTATTTGTGTTTATGGCATTGCAGACTATTGCTTTCAGGAGTAGATAGCATGGTGCAATGGAGTAACCTTGGAGCAGGGATGAGTCGGAGTCCTGATCACCATGTGACCTTAGAAGGGCCAAGTTTCTTTCTGGGATTTTAACTTCAAGCAAGGAGATGGAATTAGATCATTCTATGGAAAATTTCAATGCTAGCATGTTGTAACCATGCCAGTCAGTGAATCTTAACTTTTAGAGGTTATAGAAGCTATGAACATCTGATCAAAGCCAAGGTGTCTCTTCCCAAAGAAATGAACAGATTTCCTGAACCCTAACAACTTCATGGATAATTTCTGGGGTTACTGCGTTTCTAAAGTCTACTTGTGGACCACCAAGGGAGAACCCCCATCTAAATGGTTCTTGACTACTCCCTTATCAGACATTTATTGTCTACTACGCTCCAGAACCCATGGTAAGTAACTGGATGATGTCGACTATTCCCGATTACTTGGAAAATCTGATTTTTTTCATTTATCATTACTTTTTTTTAAATGGCAGTAACACTGCTTTATAACACTTTATGATTTAGAGGTGGAGAGTCATAGCCTTTAGTGTCTGTTACTACATCAAACCCACTGCCAATGTGACAATAGCCCTTCACCATAGGTCACTTTGCTCCCCTCCTTCTCTGGTAGGCTGTTCTACGGTTATGTTTCTAGGCTGTGTTAATGGTTTGGTTTGGTCTGACCCTTTGTTTTGTTTCTCTTATTTCATGTGTAAGTGATGCAATCTGGTGTTTTCCTTTCTCCTTATTTATTTAGAATGCCATCCATGTTGTCACAAAAAGCAAGAGTTTATCCTTGTTTTATAGCTGATAAAAGTTCCATTGTGTGTGCACATGTGTGTTTTTTTCTTAATCCACTCATCTGTCTGGGCAGGTAGGTTGTTTTTATGAATGGCCTACTGTATTGGTGCTGCAGTGACAGAGGAGTACAGATTCCCTTACAAATTAGTGTTTTGCATTCTTCAGGTAGGTACCTAGGAGTGGATTTGTAGGACCATGTGGTTGGTCTATTTTTAATATTTTGAGTACTATTGACTATTCCCTCATCCTGTTTTCTACTTTGCAGGCTCTGGAGTCATTCAGAATGGGGTTTCAATCCAGATGGTTTCAAAGTTTAATCTCACTGACATTCGATTTTTGATTTGACATCTAATCTGCATTTTTCATGAGATATAAAGCAGAAATAATATCAAGTATAACCTTAGTAAGGGGTTATAGGATTGAGTTAATTAACCTATGCAAAGTCAGAAAAAATACTTTCTAAAACAAGTTATTTCTCACCGTATCCTACCATAACATGAATTTTGGCTATGAAAGTGCTACCTACCTTACCAAATCTAACATTTATTCATATAAGGAGTTCTTGGGTTAAAATATGATGACTCCTAACTAGATCATTGCCTCACTCCAGTCACAAAAATCAACTCGAAGTGGATTAAAGACCTAGACATAAGAACGGAAACCATAAAATACCTAGAAGCAA